AAGAAGTTTTGAAAGGTTCTATATTGAAATTACAGGGTAGAAAACATATGCCTACATACTTCATCATCATCATCTATGCACCAATAAATTTGTCTCTGTCTCTGTTGGCAAGAAAAGATAAATAATTGCACTGCAAAACATGGCTGAACTAAGACTTTTTCACCTAGAAATGACGCTAAAATATAGTTTCGATACCAGCACTGAGTATAGCACAAATCGCTCATTATGTAGCTTCATGCAAAACAACAAACAAACAAAAATAGTTTGGTATAAGCTGAAGAAAACGAAACCAGAAAAACCATCTTAGATGTTTTTACAGAATTATGTACAAGAGAATGCGACAGTATCTAATTTCCCGAACAGTTACTTAAAATATAACACTTTGGTAAGTATCATTTATATTTAGTAAACACATCTACAAATTACGTCATTTACTTTCTAGATTCTACTATAGTAAATGTTGAAACGCGACACTTTTACAGATGGTTTGGTTTGTTATGAATTTCGCGCAAAGCTACGCGAGTGCAGTCTGTGCTAGCTGTCCCCAATTTAGCAGTGAAAGACTAGAGTTAGTTATTACCACCCACCGCCAACTCTTGGGCTACTCTTTTACCAACGAATAGTGGGGTTGGCTGTCACATTATAATGCCCCCACGGCTGAAAGAGTGAGCATGTTTGGTGAGATGGAGATTCGAACCCACGACCGCAGATTGCAAGTTGAGCACCCTAACCACCTGGCTATGTTGGACCTTTTCAGATTGAGTAATGTAAATAACTACCTGGAGTACCTACCCCTGGACGAAAGTTATGTAAATTCATGATCATGGACGGATTGGGCCGCCAGGACACCTAGCAAAATATATATCATCCTGATTGCTGAGAATTTACATGGGCCGTTTTAGACTCCCAGTTTACCCTGTTCATGATCAATTAAAGGTTATCTTAGGACATGAAAATTTGCTTCCCTTATATGTAATTGTAGAAAATGCAAAAACGCTCATAAAAACTGCAAAACACAAAATATTAAGCCGCAAATTTGCATGTATCTCTGCATAGACCCAACAAACCTTTATGGCAAATTTGGTGAAGATCCATCAACAGGGAGCGAACTAGTGGTAAAAATGCAAAAACGCCCATAAAAACTGCAAAACACAAAACTGAAAATTTGTATGTATCCCCGCATGGACCTAATGAGCTTCCATACCAATTGTGGGTAAGATCTATCCACACCCTGCGAAGTAGTTACATGGGCATAGAACAGAAAACAAACAGTACTATTAGATAAAACTACTTTTGGAAATAATATTCAGCTTTATTATTTTATTTTTATAGATAGATTTCTATATTCTATTTTTAATAAACATATTGCTTACCGGGGTTTCACGGTAGAACAGTGGTAAGATTATGGACTTACAACGCTAAAATCCGTGGTTCGATTCCCCGCGGTAGTCACAGCAGATATAGCTCCATGTGACTTTTTCTAGATAACAAACAAATAAACAAAGCATACAGAGGTAAAAAAAATTGACATTTACGTTTACAACAATCATAACGAAAACGTTGAAAGTAAAAATTTAATTGTAAGACATTATTAATAATATGGTAGGATCTCTATTTTTAAAATTAATCGTTATTATCTGATAATTTAGTGTTCCAAAAATATAAATCCGTCGATTAAAGCAAACAAAATATTAATTATGCTATTTATTTTCTTCTTTACTTATTTGTAAGGGGGGAGAGGGATAGACATTTTCTGTGTTTTTTGAAAGCAGGTTTCTGTTGTCATTTTAATTTATAATGTGACCTACTTTGGAGCAAGCTTTATGTAGGATTAATTATTGTTGGAATAATATTACAGCTTCAATGGTATGGATATATCGTTGGGTTTAGAAGAGGGGCGTGATGAGCGTATTTGTTCGTGTTCTGGGTCATTAGGGTCAGACCAAAGTTCGCGAGGATTTGTGGCACTGAACAATCCATTTCAAAGAAGCTGTGGTAGTACAGATAAAAATCTGAGTAGCGAAGAGGAATTATTAATCCTCGAAAATTCAAGACTCTCTTTAATGGAAGACGAAGAAGGTTTTAGCTCTAATTTTACTAGGCCTAACGTTTGTAGAAGATGTCGAAGTTTTTCATCTTCGCTACCCACAACATCGCCTTCAGCTTCATATATTATACATTCTTCATTTGGAAATAGAGCTCGTCATAATACTGGCGTGAAACAAGATGCAGGAGATTCAACTTCACAATACTTGATTGATAATAAATACCCAAATGGTTTAATGGTAGAAGGACAACTTCTTGATGATGATGAACCCCTACTGGTAAATAAATAATATACTTTTAGTTCTAAGTTTTACTTTTAATACTTGTAAGCTCCAAACAACAACAAAAAAAGTTTTAATTTGCTGTAACCTGTTGAAGTCATGTAATCTGAAAGTAAAACTAATAAATTTTCACTCTAGATAAACAATTTTGTGTAACTCGGTTACTAACTGTAACTTGTAAGTTGCAAATAATTCAGTACTTTAATGCATAGCATTTCTTTGCACTGGAAAAATAAAGTCAAACAAATGTAAAATATTTACTAATAATTTAGTATTTTTGATAGAGATGCAAAATCATAAATATTGCTTAAAATCTTGACTCAAGCATATATAACTTATATTTATAAGCTCCTTTTCTCTCTCTTTTTTTTATTTTTCTTAATTGTTGTTAGTTAAGTTTTTGCTATATAGGGAAAAAAATGTTTACTCCTCTGTTTTATCAATATCAGATATTGCAGGATTCCAATGTCAATACAAGTCAACAACCTTTAATCTTGCATGTGAATAGACTGTGATCACTGTTGCTATTGTTGGTTTCCTGTGATTTATTGTGAAAAACACACCAAGGGTTTAGTTACCAAAATAAAAATGTTATTAATAAAAAAAATAATTTGTTACTTAAACATAAATAATAAAAAAAATACACATTCACTTGTAGATGGCAAAATAACTTGTACATGTGTGTGCATGAAGAAAATGTCTTACATGCACTATTTCCTCTATTTATTGTACAGTGAAGTATGAAAAGCACTTAGTGATATAAAATAAATGCATTTATTATTCATATCTGATTATTATTATCATTATAAATAATTATTTTTTATTATATATAAGTTATAACAATATCCTTAAATTTCATGGGGTGTGATATTCTATTCAGATTTCTACTTCACTTTTTTAAAGAAGTAACTATCATCAGTTCAAGTACTTTTAACCCAATTATTCTTTTGCCAGCTTCTCTTCAGTGTTTTTTTTTTGTCTTCAACTACTACAAATATCACAACCATCAAGCACTTGTTGTATATTTTAGAGCAAAATTTCTATGAAAAGAAAAGTATAGCTGTTGATACTGTATTGGACATCTGTGTAAATGGTATATAGACCTGAATTAGTATGAATTATGAAGACACTAGGCGTGATTCAGATGTTGATTTTTCCAGCATAATGTTTTATTTTCTTTTATCTAAACTGTAAGATATATATATTTTGGTATTCAAAATAGATATTGTTAAATGGGTATTATGGACTTCAAATAGTGTGAGAACTAATTGACATTATTAAGTAGAAACAGTCTTATAGGTGAATATTATACAGTTGGTATAAAATGTTTTACCACATAAAATGTTTTGTTCTATGAAGGCTACCTATTTTGAAATACATTTTAAACAGAAATTCTGTTTAGTCAAGTTTATTTCAGTATAGTTTATGTTAACCATAAATATGTGCAGAATGAGATTACAGCAAGTATTTTAAGAATATAACTGGTAAATATGAGAACACTCTCAAAAGCCTAAATTACAATATAGTGATACTTAATTCAGATAGTGTTATTGTTTTGAAAATAAATTTGATATTGTGTTTAACTGTCGGGTTTTTATAGGTGTGGTTCTTTTAATTTGTGATTATTTTTTTTTTTATCTTTACTCCTCGTTTGCTTAGTAGATACTTCCACAAGTTCCTATTGAACATAACAGATATATGATAAACATTAAACTGAAACAAAACAGATTTCAGTATTCGATGGATCATGAATAATATACTTGTAGATGGTGCTACTATAGCGTGCAGTCTACAAAGATATTTACACTATAGCGTGCGGCCTACATTTATCCACATTTTTGTTCAGCAAATAATAATAATTTAATAAATTGTGTGTTCCAAAAGAGTACCTTAAATTTAGGTTCTAATTGTGCTAGTTTTGATTGTTGGAATTTATTTCATTCCGATTATATTTGCCCCCAAAACGTTATGTAATGGTATTTTGTACTTTATTAGTTTAAAAGCATTATTTATAATAAATGGTGCCAATTGCAAATAAACAAAGGTGAAAACGGTGATGATGATGGTAGTATCTGTGTAGACCGCATGCTATAATGTAAATATCTGTGTAGACTGCACACTATGGTAGCACATAGTAGTTTTTATTTTTGATGTATATTTAGTTAGTGTGTTTTATTTTTTTTTACTAAACAATAAATCTTTTTTTTTTAAGATTTATTCATATGTAAAAGCTCTGATTATTGTCTGCAACAGATCTTAAGTATAGTGTTATACAACTTATCAACTTACCATTATTATAAGTAATCTCTTCTAAACTCATCCATATTATTTCTAAAAAATATTTTAACATAAAGTATTTAATCTACCATCACTTGAACACTCAGCTGAAAACTATTGTCTCACATGATCTTACCTCAGTATTAACTTTTCCTTTACAAAAATCCCTGTACTTTTGCCGTGTGGAATATAACCACCATTCACAAATATGTGACAGTATACTTTATTATTCAAATGCTTTTTCAAGATGACACAGATGTTTTTCCAGATCCTTCTAAACTGGAGAGTCATCTTCTGCTTTTTAATTGGCTCTGGTTGTACAGTATATATTCTCCGTGCTTTGTGTTAAGAAATTTATAGTCGCAATCTGAAAATACTAAAAGGAACTATACAAAAGTCTTGAAAAATTGTACTGTTATTGTGGGTTTATAGTTAGTGTCAGTGTAATTCTTCAGTAGTTATGTTCATATTACCGATACTCACTGAAAGCTGTTATTAAGTGTGTTCAAACACAGGATAATGTGAATGTGTTTTCAGTGTGAGAAATGTGTATGGCTCACACGGTTATTCAAATCATGGAAAACCTTGGGAAATGAGCTATAAAAATTTCAATATTGAAAATCATGGAAAATTGGCTGTTTCTTGTCATGATCTTAGCAAAGTCTTTAAATTTCATTTTTGCTAAAAAAGTAAAATAAGCAACATCATTTATAAAAATTACTTTGGTTATTGAAATCGAGTTTTATATTTTGTGTTGGACCTTTTGAATCTCTACCTTACAAGAATGAAACCCAAGACTATTTCACTTTCTGCCGGTGGGAATATTTGCCAAACATTTAAGGCAAATATCAATATAATCCTGTATTTCAGGATTTAATAGTTCTTAAATTTTGAGTATGGGTCCTGGAAAAAGTCCTGGAATTTGTTTTCTAATGCATGTCAACCCTGAATGTGGAAGCTTAATGTGTGAGTGTAGAGTGGTTTGTTTTCTTGTGATACATGTAATATTTTGCATAATTAGAAGTTCAGCAGAAGAAAAACTGTATATTGATTTAAAAAATGTATCTGTCTAGTACCAAATACTTTTGTTATGCTTTTTGTAACAATCTAGAGAGTTAAAAAAAAAAAAAAAAAAATTGAACTTCAGGTAGGTATAGAAATGAGAAAATGAATGTTTCTAGTTATTCTCATTTATCCATTAACAAGTACTTATTTTAACTTTTGATACGTTGTAGGGTGCTGAAGATTTTGGTGATGGTGGAACAGATCACTGTCATGCATATCAGCCATCAAAAGAAGGAGTTAAGCAAGCCAAACGTCAACTGATTTTAAGTAGTTGTCTGTGTTTATGTTTTATGCTTGGTGAATTAGTAGGTAAGTCTACAGTTATACATGTATTGAAGATACATCTCGCATCTGAGCCGTTGGATTAGTATATGCAATGCTTGTTCAGCAGGACAACTTGAGTTTTTTCACATGTTTCATCACTTTTTAAAAAATAATTTGATTTTCATATTAGTCATGTTTTCTTGCCTTAAAAAAACAAAACAAAATTGGGCATTACAGCTAAATAATGCATAAAAAAGAAACAGGAATTGAAATATCGCATTCCTGAGGAATTTATCTTTGCTTGAGGAATTTTGTCTTTTTTTTAGGTGGTTTCCTGATTGGGAATGCATGATCCATCCGTATTCCTTTAGTTATGACCAATGAGAGTTAACATATTGCATGGTTTAAATAAAAAAAACAATTCATGAGGAAATGCAACTTTACATGAGGGAATGTAATTTTCCCTGTAGCTTTCCCTTGAGAGAGAATGTAATTTTATTTCATTATTTCTGTCCCTGACAAACTTAATCTGTGACTACTTTTTTTGAAACTTTTATTACTGTTAAACATTTATTACAACTCCTAGCACTGCCCATTGTGTAGCTTTGTCCTTAAAAAAAAACAACAAGTTCATAGTATTTGCTTCTCAGTGGCTCAGCAGTAAGCATTAAGGCTTAAAACACATGATACCCATGGTGGACACAACACACTAGCACATTGTGTAGCTTTGTGCTTTACGCCTGAAAAACAATAATTTTCATTCATGAAATATGTGAATTTATCATCAAATTTGTTTTTTCTTATTTTAAATGTTAACTTCAATATCTCAAACTGTCAAATTACTTAAGTGTAACAGCCTGACTGGTCTACCAAATATCCTTTTCACATCTTGTACTTTTGGGTATATCAGTACAACCTTACAGATTAAATTACCTAAGTGTAACAGCCTGACTAATCTGTAAGGTTGTACTAATATACCCAAAAGTACAAGATGTGAAAAGGATATTTGGTAGACCAAATTACAGCATTAATATTGCTTGAATCTTCACGTTTTGAACAAATGATTTATAATCAATTATTATACATCAATTAGACTTTAATGTGAAAATAAATAATAGAGATAATAAATCATACATACTTCATTGGACAGAAAATTTATTTGCAAAATTACAGTTGCTCAGCACTTTTGTGATATAGGTTGTTGTATTTACCTATTTGCTCCCCCCTCACCTTTTATACTTGTTTGTAAATGTATTTTTGTTTGTATAGTCAGTATAATTGTATCAGTATGTTCTTGTTTCAACAGGTGGATATTTTGCAAACAGCTTAGCCATCATGACAGATGCTGCCCACTTGTTAAGTGATCTTGCTAGTTTCTTAATTAGTATCTTTGCCCTCTGGGTAGGGCAAAAACCTCCCACTAAACGGATGTCATTTGGATTTTACAGAGCAGGCAAGTCTTTTATTAATTTATTGAATCTGTGCAGATTTTGAAATACTTTTTTTTCTTCTGTAACTAAACCATGCATTTAAAATATCTATATTGCTTCTGTATTAATTAATTGAATAACTATCAAATGCACTTTTTAGAATTTAGAAGGCCTTAAACAAACTTGGGTTTTTACTCAAGTTGTGTTTTGTAGTATAGGATAGGTTTGTTTGTGCAAGTCAGTTTTAATATATGTTTACTTCTGTTTCTTTCAACATTGAAGATAAAATTATTTGAATTTTATGTTGACAATTAAAGTACTTGTTTATAAGTGTTTTTTTAATGGTATATTTGAATATCTGTGCAACAAGTACTATATGAATTGTAAAATATAATATATTTTCAGAAAAGCTCTAATAATTGTTTGAACACTTTAAGTAACTTTGTTTTTACTATCATTTTCCTTATGTAAAATACTGCAAATTATACATTCCAGTGTCATTGTTTTTATTTCAAAATGTTGTGAATTACTTCCAGAAATTCTTGGAGCAGTCCTTAGTGTTCTGGTCATCTGGGTGCTAACTGGTATTTTAGTGTACCTGGCTATTGATAGAGTTCGTTTTGAGGACTATGAGATTGATGCTGATGTGATGCTTATTGTGTCTGGTTGTGGGGTTGCAATGAACATCATGTAAGTCTTTTTTTTTTTTATAACTTTATACAAGATCTAAAAAGTGTGATGACAAATCACTTTAAACTACATAGTATACCTCAAGAATCTTTCCCCACCATCTTAAGTATTTAACAGTATAACTAAGCCTTTATTAGATACTAAAAATAATTTAAATATCAGGGTTGTGAATAGCCCAGGATTCTAAAAATATACAACAGTTTTTTTGTGTTTTTTTTAACATTGTTTCACTTCCTTTATGATTCTTCAAGGCTACTAGACAAACAGTAAAACTTTTGTGGCCCAGCATGGCCAGGTGGTTAGAGTGCTCGACTCGCAATCTGTAATTTGGATTGCAATGCAGAATAGTTTTCAAAATGGTCTTTATTATTATTATTTTACAATATGCTTGTTCTTTTTAAATTGCCAGAAATTTGTAAATCAGTCGTCCACTAAAAGTGCTTTAGTAGGGTTAGGTGTCTCTTAAAATCCAGACAAGTTTTTGGACAAACAAAAAGAGGAATGGGGCTAAGAATATTAATTTTAGGAATATTAAATTAGCAATTCAATAAACATAGTAACAATGGATTATCTTACTAGTCTATTATTATGTATGTGTCTTTATGTATGCGTGCTGGTGGTCATTTAGTTTTGTACATTGTACTATCAGCTTGTTAGATTTTTTTTTATTATATCTTATTTTAACATGAGGGAAAATATTAATTTAAAACAAACTTTTTTTCTCCCCCCATTTCTTTTTTTGATAATAATTTTGTTTTTGTCCAGAAGAGGTCACTGTTATGCATTTTTGTATTTTCTAGGTGTAAAATGTGCAGGAAAATGCAATTATAGAAATTAAAATATTATTAGTTAGCAGTTTAATAGTTCAAATACAAGTAACTTTAGTAATTTAGAATTTTTACGTTGGTTTTAAAAATTCTACTTTAAACAAACCAACTGTTAATCATTTGAATTTGTACATGCCAGTTTGTGGGTGTTAATAGTGCTGTATAGGGGTATACATTTAATGACACAAACTTCAAACATAAGATAGGCATAAGCAGTTGTTAATTTTTTTTAGAAATCTTTCATTACATAACTTTTTCCTCTTATCTAGCCCCCCCCCCCCCCCAGTAGTGATAAAAATATAAATAGAATTAAGACTTAAAATGTTGAATTTGTTTTATAGCTAAAGGCAATTAGTAAGAAAGATTATACCCCCCCCCCCTATTTTTAAGACACTAAATTCAGCCTTTTTTATTAGATGGAATCTGAAACTCCTTGGACAATCAAACATTATATCTGAGATTTTAAGTATTAAACTTGTTAAAACATGAAGCCACTATTACATCAGACTCTTAGTTTTAATTATTCATATGCTATTTTTGAAATTATTGACACTAACATTTTTCTACGCAGAATGGGGCTTGTGCTACATGGTTCATGTTTGAGCCATAGTCACAGCCATGGGCTAAATGCTAGTGAAACAAGCAACAGCCAGAACATCAATGTCAGAGCAGCATTCATTCATGTTGTAGGAGATCTCATTCAGAGTATAGGTGTCCTTATAGCTGCCTATATTATTCATTATAAGGTTAGTGTTTGATAGATGCACAAATTTATAACTTTAATAGTTGGCTAGAACAAAAAGTTTTATTTGAAATTGTTTTGTTCTTCTTTTACACTTGAAAAAACAAGGTATGTTTACCTTTTTATTTGTTCTGTACAATTAAGCTTTTAGTGTAACCAGTTATTGATTAATATGGTCACATTGAGTATATACATATATAAAACACATCTCATTAGTTTAAGTACCAAAGCACATTAAATACACATGTACAAAAACATTCGGTAACGTTATCATATTTATAAATTATATTAATCATACAGAATACATGTTTTTTTTGGTGAAATTGTTTTGAAATTATGAATAGATTGGTCTTGCATGTACTGACTTTCCTGTAATATTACTGTACAGAGAGGTGTTCACAACCTATAGTAATAGTACGAGTACCTAGGCCTTACAATAATTTCTTTGACCATCTTCTATTAACTGATATTAACTTTTGGTCAGAGCAAGCTATGTACACAGAGAGAAATTAAAAATCAACTTAGCAATGAGTATAGCTAATTAAATATACTTTTTCTTACAAAACTATTTATAAATATTAAAATGTACTCTCTGTTAACAATATTTTTACTGTAACCCCAATAATATCTCGCAAGGTTTGGCCAGTTTAGGCTAGTCTCAATTATATATATTAAGCTGAGATTTCAAAACAATGTACAGTAAAAGTATAATAATAATAGAAATAAAAAGTAACAACATTTTTTATTATCAAACAGCCTAACCAATGCTATTAAATAAACATAATAAATATAATATATCATACCTTACTTAGGGACTACCAAAACACTATGTAACTGCCCGAGTTATGGACCACTACTCTACAGTACATTGTCCACTAAAATGTTCTTTTGTGTGATAAATGGAGGTCACTGTTAACCCATTCCTCTATGTACTTTCTAGAGTTCATCAACTGTGCATGGACAGTAATTTCTGAATGCCAATTTGAGCAGCCCAAGGGCACGGAAGCCCGTTGAAGGTGTCTGTAAATGTTATAGCATAATTTCCTATTTGTGCTTGCATCTTGCAGAGGAACAGGAATATTGAGTTAGAGATATAGTTGGATGCTTTATCTTATTGGTAATCCAGTCTGTACGAAGATGGAATTTCCTCACGTGGCATAGTGGTTTTAGAATATTAAACTGATAGCATGCAGAAGTGACCTTGGCATTTTTCGTAACCCTCCTTATGTTTAAATTACCATTATAGCTGTAAACTATCATCATCAACAGTAAGATGATAGTAATTATCCCAGACTTTATTACAGTTTCTTTAGTAAAAATATACTTTGTCCAATATGATGACATATTTTCATTTGTCACATGTCAGGTCGAGCTAGTACAGCTTTTGACAGTTTGCCTTCCATTCATGTATGCGGTTTGGAAGAAGCTTGTGCAAACTGTTCCAGTGTTTCTTTTGTAGACTTATCTTGATTACAGTTCTAAAGGGGTTCTTGTTGTAGTTGCAGTATATTGTTGTGTTAAGGAATTATTTTTGGTGTTTAACTTTCTTCACTACCTCTGGTGTGGAATTGTTAGCCTGTTAGGGAATAGTTTGTTTTTCCCTGCTAGAATTATACCTTCTTGTGCTTTACTGATGTGGTTCAATACTACGGACATCCCTATTTTGGTTTAATATAATTTCCTTTAGTCGTCACCTTATGATAAAAAAAATATGCACTGTATGCAAAAAACAGTCTAATTCCTCATAAGTCAAAATCATAAATAATATTCAACGTTAAACTGGCACACGACTCTACATGTTTCGATGTTACAACATCATCCATGTTTTTAATTGTGTACCTGTTTAAC